GTTTAATAATGCATTATCTCAATAATATGAGTTCAGATGACATAATTGATATTACTGTTTTTTGATGTAAGCAAGTATTTAAAATTGAAAAATTTTTATGTGATTTCAGCAAAATCATCAATCAAATTTTTGAGTTTTTAAAATTATCTTTAGTAATGTAATAGTAAATTTTTCTGAATTTAATTAAGCAATAAACCCAAACTATTGATCTCACTTTTTTATAATTTGTAGTATCTGGTTTTGGAATTAGCAAGTATGATTGCATCACGAAAATCTAGATTAATAACCTTTTATATACAGTATGAATTGATATTTACAGAAATGTTTGAGAAGGAAATTTTATATCATGATCATAATATGAATAATTTGATGATTATGCTAGTTTTTCTTGCCACAAACCTATAATAATCAAAGTAAATCCAGTTCAATTAAATTTATATTAAATAACTAATTCCTGCATCTATGATTTAAAAATGAATGTTTCATCTATTAATAATAATCCATCTGCCTTTAATTTTCAACTGAAAGGTAAAATGGTTTATGGATTGGCAAAAAACATAACACAATTAATGCAAATAAAAAAGATAAAAAAAAGTTAAGAATTATAAAGTAATAGTGATTATAATCAATATAATTTATTATCTTTTGCAAAATCGGGTGATTATAAATAGGGGGTGACTATATAGAGGTCTTACTGTACATGGTAACTTGTCCATTTTGTTAATATACTTCTAAAGATACAGTACATTAAATAAATTTTGTAGTTTTATAAAATTTTTAAATTAAACGCCAGTATTAACGATATAAAAAAGAATCACAACGCCATAGCATTAACAATATATAGAAAAAAATCACAACGCCATATAAAAAAAATTATAACGCCATAGCATTAACAATATAAAAAAAATCAAAGACTTCAGAGAACGTCTTGCATATTTAAAGTGAATCCTGGAAAAATATGTGATACAATTTGAGTTGCCGAAGTACAATATGAGTTTCTTGGCAAATGATACGATTTGTATTTGCATCACGACTATAAACTTTTACCATTCTTGTATAAGGATCGATTGAGATCCCTTCCTAGATAAATTATAATTAAATTAGCAAAGAGATCAATAAACAACAGCAAAATAACCATCATAATTACAATCATAATTAACCTACATCGACTCCTCCAAACATCCATTTATTCATTTTACTATCAAGATCCAGAGCTGTATTACAGTGTTGGGTTTTGGACACATTTTTTGATTTTAAATATTTTGGACAAGGTTTTGGACATAGAAAAATGTGTCAATAACCTGTCTAAAACTGTCCAAAATTGTCCAATTTCCCAACACTGCTGTATTACTTTCTGAGCTTAGTTCTATAACGAAGTTTGGCGTGACTTGTGGTAATCCTGGTTGTCTCCCTTCTAGGTAAGCGTCCCATCTATGAAAATATAAAGTATAAATTAAAAAAGATGGCGCAAAAAATGAAACTGTCTTTATAATTGATCACGTTCAAACCTGGGATTAAGTACAACAGATGCATCAAGACCTAGAATTTAAAGTCACCGGTACCATCAGGCAGTTTATAGGCACCCTACAATCAACAAAAAATAATAAGGCGTCGTGATACTAGCAAACATGAAAATGAAATATCAATATAAAGCTTGCATAATATATACTGAGGAGGCATCACAATGTCCTGCCAAGTCCCTGTTAGCACGATACCAATTATAGTTGCCTGGCAAAAATCTCGGGTTTCGACGGGGTCATTGGCAAAACTGTAATAAAACCTTATTGGCAAACCCGTCGAACTCGAAACCATAATAAAATCCCGTCAAAAGTCAAAACTATTTTATATACTTATTAACAAATCCGTCGAAATACAGGGTTTCGACTTTTGCCATTTGCTAAAATGAGTTTTGCCAAATAACTATAATACCAATTGCGAACTTGATAATTGATTTTGATTCTCTTTCATCTAAATAACAATTTTTAAATTTTTATCTATGGTTTTAGCAAGTAATGGTTTAACCGGGGTTCCTCAAGAACTGACATTATTTCAAGTTGGCCTTCATTCGAGTATGAGGGTTTGCCTGCGCGATTTCTTCAAACAACAGTCGGGAATAATCTTGGTGTGCGAGTTTTTTTCAAACAGTTGTTGAGTCAAGTTGGTAATAATATTGGAAGCCATTTTTAATAAAATGCAATAGACAAAAAAAAAAAAAAAAATTTAATTCCAGAAATTTAAGAAAAAAAAAATTTAACATTAACAAATATTTTTTTAGTAGTTTCCTCCCTTTCTATTCAAATCGTCATATATTTATATTGATTAATTTGATAATAAAGAAGATATAGAGATTACTGCAAATGAAATCTGATTTAGTTAAACTATTTTAATTTTATAAATGATATTAACATAAATTTTTAAGAAATAAATCATTTATGAAAGTATAATTATTTTTTTTAGCCGGTTATGTAACAAGATATGAATGGAATTTATTTTTAAACAAAATGAAATGCCACATAAAAACTAGCCGTATGTCAATAGCCGAGTGCCCGCAGTTGAGGTAGAAGTTACATTATTAACATTGTAAAATTAAAGTATTAACTAACGGGGAACTTTTTCAGTTGATAATTTTTTTTAACTCGTTTTGCCACTCTAAACGTTAAAGTTGCTTATTCACTTTAGAATCGATTTTGAAATGAACACCCAAACAACAAATATCTAAACTGTGATTGAAATTATTATTATTATTTTTGTCAATATTATTTTACGGATGTTTTATAAAATTAACGTTAAATTTACTTAAAATCATTGTTTTTTTAATATTTAGCATTGCAACAAGGTACTCATTTTTTGGTACATCTGAAAATTTAAATAATCCACAAACAAAGGTTATAAAACGTATTTCAAACTTTTGAACTAACTGTACATTTAAATCCGAAAAAACTTTATTCGAGGTTTATTTATAAGGTAATAATAAATCATACATTGTAATAATAAAACATAAACAAAGAAAAAAAGAAAACAAAAATATGATATAAATTATATAAAAAAAGAAACGCGATGTAAATTCTCAATGTTATATCATCCAAAAAGCTGAAGTTATTAAGCGAATATTTTAATTCTAAATATTTTTGGAATACGTTGGGGATGTACCGTACATTATCTAAAACGTGCATCAGAGAAATAATGCTGTTCTTGACTTAATTGAGGTTGATTAACCGAATAAGAATCATCCAAACAAGTATTGCCTTGCCGAAGGTGATGCTGCACGTCTAAACTGGTTAAACCTGTTAATGAAGAAGGTGTAGATTCGTATCCATTTGTTGTAAAGGAATAATTCTGTTCTTGATTAAATCGTGGTGGATTAACCGAATAAGAAAATGGAAAAGGTGTAGATTCGTATCCATTTATTGCAAAGAAATGATTCTGTTCTTGATTTGATAATGGTGGATTAACCGAATAAGAAGAATTATGAAAATAAGTATCGTCTTGTTGAAGTTGATGCTGCACGTCTAAACTGGTTAAACCTGTCATCGGAGAAGGTGTAGATTCGTATCCATTTATTGCAAAGGAATAATTCTGTTCTTGATTTAATTGTGGATAATCCAAGCAAGTATTGCCTTGTTGAAGTTGATGTTGCATGTCAAGATCAGTTAATTTTGGGATTATAATAATT